AGAGATTCTTGCCAGCAAGACCATTGTGAATTGTTCTCGTTCCCTCGGTAAAATTTGTTGTCGCGTTGCGTCTCGATCTCGACCTGTATATTCGAATACATGTCGTTTTGGCTGTTCATGTTTGGAGGCGATATGGCTTTGCGAGATGACATCAGTCGTGATGCTGCGCAGTCAGAGTACATTAGTCCCGAAGATCGAAGAGAAGCGCTTCTCATCCAGTGATTCAAGATTTACGATTCACGATTCAAGATTTACGATTCACGATTCACGATTGTGGCATGCGTTTCTGGTTGCAAGCATTTATATAGCAGCGCCTCCACATCACGCGCTCTGGCACCAAAGTAGCACGTACGTATACCTGTAGCGGTGATCCAAACTCGTGAATTGAGCTACTATGCCGCGCATTTACGATGTGCGAGGTTCGTGATTGGTGATGAAAGGCGATGCTGCTGTTGTGACTTCGTTGTGCAACTTCATCCATCTCCCTGTCCTCGAAGCGGTCTGTCAAGTCGAGTGGGAGGAAAAGCACCTCGTTCGTGATTCTGCATCTGCCGAGCACATCACCTTTAGGATGGTCCTTGCCGCTGTCGCTCAGCTCACGTCTACCGGCGTCATTGCCGATAATTTGGCAATCGCTAGCGGACTCGTCAGTGCGTACGAGAATCAAAAGATGACGTCTTTTCAGCAGGTTGAAGATTGCAAAACGCTGAAGCATGTCTGGTCTATCTTTACGCGGCATTGGGATCTGCAGAGCGAGCTGCTGCTTCTGGTGCAAAGGTACGTCTTGTGGAAAGCTCATGCTACTCCAAACATGATCTGACACGTCACAAGCCCGTTCGCTGTGTTTCCCCCGCCGCATAGGCGCTTTTCTTGCCAGAAGGTCAGTCAACGTCATCGTGAGAGGGTGTAGCCTTTCCGAACTGCCTAATTGATACTAGACTTGCTGACCCGCACTTGCCATTCTCTCCAGCGACGGACTTTATCGCCCCTTCGCCATCCGTAGGAGCCTTGACACGCAGTGCCCAGGCACGTTCCTTCGTTCCTGATCTCTGCAAAGAGGCCAAGCAGAGCAATATTTGGGTATCTGTAGGCGTGCACGAAGCCCCTGCTGAGGAGTCGGGCGACAAGGAGAGATGCTACAACACGCAGGTGCTCATTGACAATGAAGGAAAAGTCAGGGAAAGCTATCGAAAGGTGAATTGAGGTTGGGCCTCTTGTCTGGTGTGCATGGCACGCGCGTCTAGAGCTCAGGCGCTCACTCTCACCTGCCGTACTTGACATACCACTTCGCAAAGCTTCATCTCTTCGATGTAGACATCAAGGGCGGTCTGACCATACTAGAGTCCAACACCACCATTCCGGGCAAGGCGATTCCTCGTGTGCATCCATCACCTATCGGCGCGCTAGGAGTGAGTCTCTAGTGCCATGCATTGTCATTGTCATTCTCTTCCGCCATCCATCTCAGGCGTGACGCTCAAAGCTCATCAGCGCCCCTCTCCATGCCAGCTACAGACCTGCTACGACATACGCTTCCCAGAGCCGTCGCTTTCTCTGCGAAGGCAAGGCGCGCAAATTCTTACTTTCCCATCCGCATTTACTGTGAGGACGGGCGCTGCGCATTGGGAGGTGCTGCTAAGAGCCAGAGCTTTGGACACGCAAAGCTACGTGCTGGCAGCTGCTCAGGTGGGCGCTCATGAAGGTACCAAAAGAGTCAGCTATGGGCATGCCATGATTGTTGATCCTTGGGGAAGCATCGTAGCTCAATGCAGGTGAGCTGCCAATCAGTGATGCCAAGGCGACGCCTTGCCCGCTTCATCTTGAGCTCATCTCTGCACTTGCTCTCCCACGCCAAAGCGACATGCAACCTTACAAGCCGACACTTTGCTTCGCGAATATAGTAAGTCTGGCTGATCAGTCTTTGGGCATCTTGGGGTGCTCCGCTCAGCTTCTGCATGCCCTTCCAAACAGGACCTCGATGCCCTGACAAGCATGAGGACGGAGATGCCCCTATGGAATCAACGACGTACCGATGTGTATCCCGAGCTTTGAAGAGCCTCGACACTTAGGTGCCGCACGTTTCATTTTTAAGAGATGACATTGCCTGCATGAGCCCACCGTACATTATCAGATGAATGGGAGCCCCGTCCCTACGCGCATGGCATATTCCTCGTAGTCCTTAGGAAAAAACTGCTTCAGCGAGTATTCTTCTCCTACTATTCTGTGTCTAAAGAATCGCCAAAGTGTGACCGCAAAGACACAGAATGCGAGAGGATTGCCGAGGAGGGACTGGGTGCCCAAAGCCCAGTAAAAGAAGCCGACATAGGAAGGATGTCGCGTGAAGCTGCCTCGGAAGAAAGATGTAGCGTAAGCGTCACATGCTCGGATGGCTGGTAGCCTATGCTTCCTCACAGACTCACGCATATATGCCGTTAGTGACGAGCGTATGGTCCTCTCGCTTTGTTCCACGTGCAACTTCGTGGCTGAAAGATCCTGCCGCATGGACCATTGCCAACGAGCGAGCGATCTGACCTGCTACGACCAAACCCAGCCCTGCGGTGTACCGCGAGCGGTCACAAGAGGGTGGCTCAGCCTTGACTTCGAGCTCCATAGCATCGCCTGCATACACTCACCGACGTAGCTCCACCAGGGAACCTTCGCGCTGCCCTGGCTCCAGAGGAGACGGCGCACGAAGAATTCGACGAGTCCAGCGAGATGAGCAACGTGGTATGCGATACCATTCTGCAGCAGGAAAGCTGGATATGATGCACAAGGGCCGTGTCCACTCAGCGATGGATTGCTCTCCATCCAAGCATTCCCTTGCTCAAAATACTCACAATCTTCCATCAGCCTCGTGGCGTTCCAATGTGCGGTGATCCAGAACTCTGCGAGATGAAACAGAGCCCAAGCAGCGAGATATGCATTGAGTTGCGGGCTAGCAAAGATATCGCCTGTGCGGGCCAAAAGGCCGACAGGTGATGATGATTGGTGCACGTTCGTAGTGTTGGGCCATGCATACCACAGCAAGCGTAGCGCTTTTTGGATACACAGACCAACAAGCATACCCAATGCTGCGCTGATGAGGCTCACTCTTACCGCTGTAGGCGCAAGATGAGCAGGTATGGACCTGGGAACAGAAGGTCGCATTAATCGTCTGATCACGCTTTCGTCTTGCGTATCCTCTTCCCCGTCCGAATCACCACCTATGTCCTTGCGATCTGATGGCCGCCGTCTAAGTGACATTGTGTGGAGAGCTGGGATATGGACAGGCGGGCTTGATGGTCCTCCATCCATGAAGAGCGAGACCGGTGAAGAAGGAATGATTCGGGGCTGATTCCGCTCCGAGGCGGGATGGTGAAGATGGACAGGAAGACGTTTGGACCGCTGACCGGCGCTCAGGAGGAAGTGGGATGGGTGGTCGTCGGTGACTTGATCATGACGATCTTGAGTGTGTGCGTATTTGAGATGCTAAGAAGTATTCAGTGGTTCTCATTCATGATTTTTCAGTCGACTTCCAAAGCTGACCACAAAAGGGACAAAGGACCAGCGGATGGTGCCATCGCATCGCGTCTTAGGACAAAGGAGGCCTGCCTGATCATACTTGCTGCTTAACTGCTTCTTGAAGCCGCGGTGCACCAAAACGTCCAAAAGGTGGCTGTGCATGGCTGGGAGGAGTACGTTTCACGTGACTTGACTGAAAGCATCAGCTGACGCACGCATTACACATGTTCGGTATAACGCGCACACGCGTTTATCTTCGGCAGAAGCGAAAAGGTGGGAAGATCTTCAGCGATTCACGGACTGACAATTCCAGCCTATCAACTCACGACTTGATCTGCGCAGTCGTGAGCGCGGCTACCACACATCTTACTTACACCTCATCCATTCCAAATTTTGCATACTGTCATAGCATTAGCATTGTCTACTGCTGCCGGACCTGCTCATCGCTGGATGCTGCGCGCACAGACCTCTCAACCTCGAATCAACACGCAGCAAGGCGTTACGCTTTCTCGCAGGGCGTGGGGCCAACCAAGACCATAGAGCCAATAACAGCAAAGCACTTTGCAAAAGATGGCTTTGCAATCGAGCGCTGCCTCCAGCGCATCGCACCTCTATCGACGAGCGCAAGCTGTGCTCGATGCTCTCAGTCCGCACGCAGCTCCCAACGATGCGGCAGTGTTGGACAGCGGCGCAGTGCCCTACTTCTCGTGGTCAGTTTCAACCGTCGACAATGCCACCTTGAGCAGCTCGACACTGAATGCATTCAAGCGCAAGACACCAAGCGCGCTCCAGCGCCTTTGCAGGAACAAGGAAGGATGGGGTCCCGTCTCGCAGTTTAGGGACTTGGATCTCACACCCTGCGCTGCCGATGCCTACCTGCTCGCCGCGCCATCCCTCTTCTTTGCCTGCTTCGGTGAGTCAAGCGCGAACGGATCGTCCAAATACGCAGTCTGTCGTTGATAGGTCTTCCATCTTGCCTCACAGCTGCTGCCGATCTGGCCAGGACATCGCGCCTGCCTGCTCGAGCTTTGTCGCAGAGATCAAAACATCTGCTGATAGCCAAGCAGGCCCTGCTAGGACTATTGCTGGCTGCACAAATCGTCACTGCTGGGCTTGACGGGCTGTACGGAGCGTGGCTGTCGGTGCAGGTGATAGCTAGTGTCGTGCAAGCAGCGACGTATGCCGTCTTGCTGCCTTTGATATCCCACACTCATCTGCGCAAGAGGAGAGGATCGACCAGCGCTCTGCTCTACCTCCTCTTCCACATCTTTGCCCAAGCAGCACGCCTTCGAACCATCATCATTGGAGAAGCAGCATCGCTGCAGCACGTGATTCCCAGAGCTGCCGTTGTTGCACTCGTCGTATTGCTGTTTGGCCTGGAATGCGTTGGTCCTTCGATTGGAGCTTCGCCAAAGTTGCCACTGAATGACGACAGCCTCGCAGCGAATGAGAGCGCGATCAGCAACCTCTCACAGGAAGAGGTGCAGGCGCTCAACGAAAAGAGGGAATGCCCCGAAGTGACAGCAAACATCTTCTCTAGGCTCGCTTTCTGGTGGATGAACCCGATGATGTCGGTGAGTAGAGGCGTGAAAGTGATGACATAAGGACAGTTTGTTCACCAAGTATTTGGCACCTCATGCGCGGTCAGTTGGGAGCAAAAAAGACGCTCAAGGAGGATGACATGTGGTCTTTGCCGCCTGGCGAGGATGCTGAGGGCTTGGGCCTGCGCTTCGAGCACTACTACGCCAAGCTGCGGACCAGGGAAGGCAAACCGCGCTTCTGGACTGCTTTGGGCGCCGCTTTTGGAGGCCCTTATGCCCTCGCAGCGATCCTCAAGGCAGCTCAAGATACGTTGGCTTTTGCGCAACCGCAGCTGCTGCGCTACCTGCTCACCTTTGTGCAAAGCTACGGCACAGAGAGCGGCGCGCCTGCATCTCATGGCTTTGCCATCAGCCTGGCCATCTTCGTGGTCGCCGTCGTTCAGACCGCCTTCTTGCACCAGTACTTTCAGAGGTGCTTCCTCACGGGCATGCGCGTGCGAGCAGGGCTAGTCTCCGCCATCTTCAAGAAGTCTTTGCGCATGAGCAATGAGGACCGAGCGGGCAAGAGCACGGGAGAGACAATCAACATCATGAGCGTCGACGCCACGCGCCTTCAGGACTTGATGACCTATGGCCACATCATCTGGAGCGCATTTTTCCAGATGACGCTCGCTTTCGTCTCACTCTACAACCTTTTAGGATGGCCCTCGCTCGTTGGTGTATCCGTCATGGTGGTCAGCGTTCCGTTGAACACACTTCTCGCCAGGTACATGCGCACGCTGAGCACCAAGCAAATGAAGATTCGCGACAGGAGGACCAAATTCATGAGCGAGATTCTGAACAACATCAAGAGCATCAAGTTGTTTGCATGGGAAGAAGCATTCACCGCCAAGCTCCATCAGATCAGAAATGTGGAGGAGCTGGGCTTGCTGCGGTGGGCAGGAGCCGTATCGAGTCTGTTTCAATTTGTCTGGACAGCCGTGCCTTTCATCGTGTCTCTGGCCACTTTTGCGACCTACTCGGCTACTCAATCAACACCCCTCACGGCGGACCTCATCTTCCCCGCCTTGTCGCTCTACCAACTTCTCAGCTTCCCTCTTGCCATGGCGGCTGGTATCATTTCGGCCGCATTACAGGCAACTGTCAGCGCCAAGCGCATCTGCGAATTCTTGGATGCTGGGGAACTCGACCCACAGGCTCGTCTACTCACGCTTCCTGACCAGGCTGAGCAGCTCATTCCTGCTGCTGAAGCCAAGAAGGGCGAGCCTTTGGTCACCATCCGCGAGGGAGAGTTCAAGTGGAGCCGCAAGCAGCCCACGCCGACTCTGCAGGACATTGATTTGACAGTCGGAAAAGGCGAGCTTTTGGCTGTCCTCGGCCGCGTCGGAGATGGAAAGTCGTCCTTGCTCTCGTGCGTGCTTGGGGAAATGTACAGGAGCGACGGGCAGGTCACTGTTCGAGGAAGAACGGCGTACTTTACTCAAGGTGGATGGTGCATGGGAACGTCGATCAAGGACAACATCTTGTGGGGTCTTCGACACGAGCCAGACTTTTACAAACGCGTAGTTGCGGCTTGCGCACTGGAGCCTGACTTTGCCGTGCTTCCCGAAGGCGATGAGACGGAAGTAGGTGAAAAGGGCGTGTCTCTATCCGGCGGGCAAAAAGCCCGGGTGGCTCTGGCACGCGCCGTGTATGCGAGAGCGGACATTTACCTCCTCGACGACCCTCTCGCTGCTGTGGATGCCCATGTTGGGGCGCACATTTTCAAGCATGTGATCGGCCCTGAAGGTCTGCTCAAGACAAAGTGCAGAATCCTCACCACAAATTCGGTCACGTTTTTGCCATTTGTCGATCAGATCATTAGTCTTAGGCGCGGCACTATCATGGAGGAGCGCGGCTCGTACGATGAGGTGATGGAAAAGCGTGGAGAGCTCTTCACGCTCATCAGCAGCCTGGGTAAGCAGTCTCAGCGTCAGCGAGATGCTGCAAAAGCAGATGAGAGGGCTCATCAGGTCAATGAAGAGGGTCAGAACGGCAAGGTGGAAGCGAACGACGCTGGAGAGAGCGTTGATGGCACCAAGATCAACGACACACTGCTTCGACGCATGAGCAACGCCTCGATCGCTAGGCCTGCTGCGCTGACGCCCGCGCAGATCAAGAGAGAGACCGTTCGCTCGCTGCGCGAGTCGACGAAACCGCAAGAAAATAGGGCGGAAGGTGCAGTGTCCTGGAGTGTGTACAAGAATTACGCTTCCAGCGCCTCACTCGTCGGTGTGGGTCTTTATAGCTCGGCGCAGGTCCTCACGCAAGTGCTGCAAGTTGGGAGAGACGTGGTACTCAAAGTCTGGGCTGGCCACCCAGGCGAAGACAAGTACTACCTGACTCTGTACGCCGTACTTGGCTTCGGGGGCGCCGCTGCCGTCTCGCTGGCACCGCTCATTTTGACGACTTGGCTGGTCATTGCTAGCTCTCGTCGACTGCACGATGACCTCTTCCACGCTGTCTTGCGCGCGCCTCTGCAATGGTTCGAAAGCACGCCTACCGGTCGGGTACTCAACCTGTTCTCGCGAGACACCAACACCATCGACGAGGTGCTACCTCGTGTTATCAGCGGCGCTTTCAGAACGCTCATGGTGGCATTTGGCGTCATTTGCGTCGTGGTCTACTCCGTGCCGCTCTTTGTATTTGCGGTCGTGCCCCTCGGCTGGTTCTACATGCAGGTAATGAAGTACTACCTGGCGACATCGCGCGAGCTGAAGCGTCTGGACGCCGTTTCCAAGTCGCCCATCTTTACTTGGTTCCAAGAGAGTCTGGGTGGTCTGTCCACTATTCGTGCCTTTGGACAAGAGACTAGATTCATCGCTACTTCCGAGGCGCGGGTGGATAGGAATCAGGAATGCTACTTCCCCGCAGTCTCGTGCAACCGATGGCTGGCTGTTCGCATCGAGTTTATAGGTTCCACCATCATTCTCCTGTCTTCAATGCTCGCTGTATGGCTCTGCACCAGCGGTAAAGGCAAGATGGACGCTGGCTTGATGGGCCTGATGCTGTCCCAGGTTCTCAACACTACGCAAACCTTGAACTGGCTCGTGCGATCCCTCTCAGAAGTTGAGCAGGTGAGTACCTTGTCCCATTACGCGCGCCGTCGATCCGACTCTGACTCGAGTACTGCCTCTGTCTCCCAGAATATTGTGTCTGTGGAGCGAATCCTTTCATACTCGGAAGTGGAGTCCGAGGCACCCTACACAGTCTCGGAAGATCAGCAACCGCCCGCTGACTGGCCACAGCGCGGAGAGATTCAGCTCAAGGATTACTCGACGCGCTACAAGCGCTCGCTGCCGCTCGTGCTCAAGAAGCTCGATCTTACCATCAAACCGGGCGAGAAGATCGGTGTGGTTGGCCGCACGGGAGCGTGAGTTGGAGAGCTATTATAACCTCCATTGCGCCTTGCACGCTGATCACGACTCTCTTCTGCAGCGGCAAGAGCTCTCTAACCCTCGCGCTCTTCAGGATCATCGAGGCAGCCGAGGGTGGCATTTGGATTGACGACGTCGACTGCCGAAGCATCGGCCTTAGAGATCTTCGAAGGGCGCTAGCTATCATTCCACAAGACCCGCAGTTGTGGGAAGGCACGCTTCGCGACAATTTGGATCCGACTGGCGAAGCAGACGACGTGGCCTTGTGGAAAGCACTCGATCAAGCTAGATTGAAGGATCACATCAATTCTTTGGAAGGCAGACTAGACACGCACCTCACCGAGGGCGCGAGCAACTTTAGCGCGGGTCAAAGGCAGCTCATCTGCATTGCCAGGGCATTGCTACGCAACGCAAAGATACTTTTGCTGGACGAAGCTACTTCGGCCATCGACATTGCGACGGACGAGCTCATCCAGAAGCTCATGCGCACAGAGACGAAGGGCGTCACGATGATCACCATCGCTCATCGTATCAATACCGTCATCGATGCGGATCGCATCCTCGTTCTCAAGGATGGCCAAATTGCCGAGTTTGATGAGCCTCAGACTTTGCTTGTGAGTGGGGTCGTCAGGGACGCTGCTGCCCCGTCCGCTCTAGCTGATGCAAGGATCCCTTGTTGCTCAGGCAAACAAACAAAGTATCTTCTTTGACATGTGTAGAGAGGCTGGACTTGCACAGATCGACGCACAGACTGACAAGTGACGCGCTTGACCGATAGACTTTTGTATGCCAGGCGAGGGCCCGTCGCGAGCCACTTTGGTTGTCGACGGGCAGTATTTCGCATCCCGAGCTGCAGACTGGCGTCTCACATTGGATCTGTAATGCCATCTTGCACTGGACCTCTCCAAATGAGCCTGGCTGTGGTGGCTATGCGCTGTGGGATATCGATACTGCACGTAGATGGCCTGACGACTCAGACTCTCTCTGCACCTACTTCGCCTCTCCACGTGATAATGATTGGGCTGGCTTGCTTGGCTTTTGTTTCGACCTCTGGCTTCCGATCTGGTCGTCTTCTTCCCACGCCTCTGCTGTCCAACCCCACACGTCGGCGGTCCTTTCATCGCGCATCAGGATCAGAAGAGCAAATGATCAGTTAAGCGGCCAATTCTAACAGAGTCGTTGGCTTGTTCGCTTTTCGTCATCGCTTCAGCTGAGCATCGCTTCACCAGCTCCAAGTGAGATGCTTTGTAGCCGATTAACTTCAGCGAGAGCGCGTCCCACCGTCCCGCCTGGCCGAAGCTCTGACTCAGCATCCCCACCGGCCGCGCGATGAAATCTACACTCACGACTGCTGTGCATCACCGAGCCTCGGTCATGCAAACCAGCTAGCGTGCGCTCCAGCTTGCTCACTTCGTTGCCACCTGACTCGCGTGACTGCTGATCCGCCGGGCTTACGGTGTCGTGCAGGTT